ACTTCATAACAACTCTAAACCTAAAAAGTTGTATTGCATGAATACTTAGCACCACCAGAATTTTAACAAAATGATGCCAACTTTCAACCTGGTGTGAAATGTGGACGCTATGTCATTTTTGAAAAATATTTTAAAAACTGCACTCAATGCAACACTAAGACATAAACCCGATTGTGTGACTCCGAATTTTGACACCAAGTGTTCTTTATTCTGCCTCTTATCATTTATCTAACTTCGCCTGTAGCTCCTCCGTGGGCTACTGCCGGTCACAAGCTCGGGTAAAGGAGGAGGGTTGGGCTTGGGGTTAGCAACCCCATCCCGTAGAAAACCAACTCGCTAAAAAACGCTAACCAGAAAAACAATTATTCAAACCACTTAAACTCTGCCCTGGGAGTAGAAGGAATAATTATGACGTCTCATGATGAAAGCCGAGTTCCTTCGGAGGTCATGAGGCCGATGCACCTTCTTACAACCAGAGCAACAATTTTTATGAGTACATGGAATGTCCAGACAATGTGGGAGACCGGAAGAATCTTCCAAATTGCTGCAGAAATGAGAAAATACAATCTGGAGGTGCTGGGAATCAGTGAAACACATTGGACGCAGGTTGGACAACAACGACTAACTTCAGGGGAAGTTCTGTTATACTCCGGTCATGAAGAAGAAAATGCCCCACATACACAAAGAGTTGCATTGATGCTGTCCAGAAAATCACAAAATGCACTTATTGGATGGGAATCTCATGGACCAAGGATCATCAAAGCCTCCTTCAAAACAAAGAGAGAGGGCATTACAATGAACGTCATCCAATGTTATGAGCCTACCAACGACTACGATGAAGATGCTAAAGACCATTTCTAAGATAAGCTGCAGTCGATCTTCGAGAAGTGCCCAACCAAGGAACTGACCATTCTGATGGGAGATTTCAATGCTAAGGTTGGAATGGATAACACTGGATACGAAGACGTCATGGGACAACATGGACTGGGAGAAAGGAACGAAAATGGTGAGAGATTTGCAAACCTATGTGCCTTCAATAAACTGGTCATGAGTGGCACCATATTCCCACACAAAAACATACACAAAGCCACTTGGATTTCACCGGATCACACTACTCAAAATCAAATCGACCATATCTACATAAACAAAAAGTTCGGAAGGACGATGGAGAATGTGAGAACCAGAAGAGGAGCTGATATAGCATCCGATCATCATTTGCTGGTCGCCAAGATGAAACTAAAACTCAAGAAGCACTGGACAATGGCGCAGAAAAACATCACAAAAGTTTAACACGGCCTTTCTTCGAGATGCTAACAAACTCAACAATCTTAACATAGCCCTCAGCAACAGGTTCCAGGCCTTTCATGATCTACTCAATGGAGAGGGAAACACCAGGGAGAACAAATGGAAAGGTATCAAGGAGGCAATCATTTCAACATTTCAGGAGGTTCTGGGTCACAAGAAGCACTATCACAAGAAATGGATCACTGCTGGTACACTGGATAAGACTGAGGAAAGGAGGAACAAGAAGGTAGCAATCAATATCAGCCGAACAAGAGCGGAAAAAGCCAAGGCACAAGCCGAATACACAGAGGCGAACAAGCAAGTGAAGAAGAGCATCAGAAACGACAAACGTAAATATGTGGAAGATTTAGCAATGACAACGGAAAAGGCTGCAAGAGAGGGAAACATGAGACAACTGTATGATTTCACAAGGAAACTTGCTGGAAATTACCGTAAACCAGAAAGACCAGTGAAAAGAAAGGAAGGCAAAGTAATCACCAACATTGAAGAACAACGAAACAGGTGGGTAGAACACTTCAAAGAACTCTTGAATCAACCAGCTCCATTGAACCCACCCAACGTCGAAGTAGCACCCACGAACCTCCTAATCGATGTTGGCCCACCAACAATCGGAGAGATCAGCATGGTCATTAGACAAATCAAGAGCGGCAAGGCAGCGAGACCAGACAACATCTCGGCAGAGACACTGAAAGCAGATGAAGCAGTAACTGCAAAGATACTCCACATTCTCTTCAATAAGAATTGGGATGAAGAACAAGTACCAACAGACTGGAAAGAAGGACTTCTGATCAAGATTCCATAGAAAGGCGATCTTAACAAGTGTGATAACTACAGGGGCAACACTCTTCCCTTCGTACCAGGAAAAGTCTTCAACAGGGTATTGTTAAACAGAATGAAGGACTACGTAGATCCCTTAACTTCGAGACCAACGGCTGGATTCCGTATGGACCGATCTTGTACTGACCGAATCGCAACTCTACAAAACATTGTGGGACAATCAATTGAATGGAATTCATCACTCTATATAAGCTTCTTTGACTATGAGAAAGCATTTGATAGCGTGAACAGGACAACATTATGGAGGCTTCTTCGACACTACGGCGTTCCTGAGAAGATAGTCAATACCATACGGAACTCCTGTGATGGACTAAACTGAAAATTCGTGCATGGAGGACAGTTGACAGACTCGTTCGAGGTATTGATCGTTGTCAGGTAAGGTTGCTTACTCTCAAGTTTATGCAAATGCAAAGTCTCACTGATGAGTTGTGACCATAGCTCATACTTGATATTGAGAAGCCGATGCAACGCCAAAGTGCGAAGCGATAGATGTTTTCAGACCAAGCTATCAGCAAGGCTGCAGGCTAATCGCAAATATCATTATAGAAACATGACCATGAGGGAGTCTACAAATCAAGGATTCTGTACACTTACCGAGCTAAATATCAAAGAGCGGACTAATTTCGAGATCTCATAGGCATTTGAAATTTCATAGACCAACTAAATCAGAGGCCTGAAGACGCGGAATGTCTATCGACTGTAGTGTCAGTTGAGGGTCTAGGAAACATTCGGCGAAATCCCGTTTTTGGTTTTGAGGACGCAGAAATCGCTGCACCCAGAAGAGTAACCACGATGTGACAACATTGGACCTATAATCCTGAAACAGTTCTCAGAAGCGAACTCTATGTACTTTGCATGTCTACGGTTGGAAAGATGGGTTTCACTAACTCACTTTAATCCCGGCCCCGAAACAACCTAGTGAACAGGATGCATCGTACGAAGGTTAATAGAGTATATATGAACATGAACACTCTTCCTCATTCGACACAAAGCAATTACACTCTTATTTATCACAAACTTGGATGATCTATCCCAAATGATTGGAGGCTTACTAGAGTTAGACGAGAACGGTGTTACGAATCAGCTAACTTTGAAGTCACACTTCTCGGTCAGCATCTATCGTGGATTACCCCTTCGCCGTATCAAAGTACTATGGCTGCTTTGAAGACCGTATAACATAAAGGCCTTTATTATGGAAATATGTTTGTAAGGATGAGTACAGAGAAGATAGCGAGACCACCACTGGGTGAGCTAGTCCATGGTATATGATTGACTGATGCGTGTTGGTTGTCCTTGACTTTGAGGGAGATCGATGATCTGTTTGATATTCAGTGACCCTACTGCCGGATGATTTGGTTAGGGCTCAGTGGCATTTTACTGCCCTTGGACTCCCCATAGAAACCCTCTCTCAACAATCTGTTCACCGCGTGGTCCCGGGCTTGTAATCTTGGAGAGCTTGGAGACTGGCCCCAACCACATGAACGACTCAGTCAAGGTTGTGAAGACGCCACAGGCATTGTAGTTTGACAACACTTTAACCAGCAACAACTTCTAAAATTGAATCGTGCCCACCCAGTGAAATCAAAAGCGAGAAGCGAGGTATATTTGATAGGTTATAAAAATATCGAGAGATCTAAGAAGTTGAACACGGCGTTCCCACTCGTGATCTGGCGCAGACGCATGACGGAGCGTTTTCAGCTAGGTGAGTCCATTAAAACTAGTGTGGTCAACATCCAATGTCGAACACTTACAGAGCTAGTGATTTTGGGGATTTATTTGCCGCTACAGTAGACTCAAGTCTTCATTTTGCGCCAAGGCAAATTGACACTATGCATAGATATTTTCAAACCAAGCTATCAGCTACACGGTCCAACCTTGAAGCCCACAATGTCGTTGTGCCTCCTCTATTCAAAAGAGATACAAATCTCTTGGACCAGACACACGGATGAGAAACCAAGTGAGTGATAGAGCTAAAACATAAATCGTGCTACGACAGACTTCATTGTTTGAGATTATTTGTGTTGAGTTACAGGGAATAACAGGTGATCTGACAATGCCATACAACATGTTAAGTACACCAAGCCACCTCAACTTGAGCATTTTGACAGAACTACATCACAACGACCCTCGAAACAACCTTGAGAGACTGCGCATCGGAGAGCGAACAATCAGGTACTCTCTTGCTCTTTCACACTAAGAGATGTTCTCGCTTGGAATGCTCTCCCAGGAGAAGTGATCACGGCTCCATCAGTGGAAAGAAGACTTGACAAACGCGTACTTACCATGGATCACAATCTCCCTCTTGAACTAGCTGTGTCTGATTCATGTCACGTAATTTACCACTATTATCATTACCGCACATCAGAGACTTCTTCCTACTTCTCTTATTATCATCTCCGTTCCCCTCTTATTCTTTCAATTCCATCTTTTTGTATACTAGCAATTAAGTAATTTATTTAAGTATTTATTCTCGGAACGGTCGTCTTCTCTTAGCACTCGGTTTGTCATTTCATTATTTTCACATTACAATCAACTAGCACCCTGCACGGTAAAGTGACGATTGTTGGTGTTCAGATTCCCTACTTCCCTGAGACAAACATACTCAATCGAAATACAATACATGCAAACCCACAAATAACTACCACATTGACCAGAATTAATGCGGCCGAGTGGACAGACTACCACCTATTAGACATAAAAGAATACCTGGAATAGTGCCGAACCAACAAAAAGAGAACACAAGGAAATCAATCGATTTATACAAGCTCATGACAAAGGTATTGGATACCGATTATTTGATATCAACACTTCACCTGGCGCTATAACGTTTTGAAGGTCGCCGATCATGTGTGTTTAAAATGGATTTTAGTAATTTGCACTGCTTTGTCGGCAAGGGGTACGTTTTCTAGTTTATTTAAAGCTGATTTTATTCTGTTCCAAAGTGTAAGGTATTAGGCTTTTACTGAACCAGATCCTAAACTATGTAAATACTATTAGATTGTCAGCCTAGATTAACCACATGCTTTAAATGGAAGCTAAAAGAAATTGGTGAACTTTGTACTAGTTGCTCCCATTCGAGGCTCGAAGCATATAAACAATTAACCTGTGCATAAAATGCGACGGGCTGAGTATTGAAGATCCAAGCTTTCTCGTGCTATTACGACACGTTAATTAGGTTTTCCGGAGTTGAGAGCCACAGCAATGTATAGTGTGCTAGAAATCACTCTGCGTTTGCACTAAGTTAATGATTAGTTTTTAATCTCAATGGGGTTTGCGTTTCCTGACGTCTCTTCACTGTCCTATGGATTAGTTCTCTAAGTCAAATGCTCAGAGAGTAGCCGCCTAGGAAAAGCACTTATTGAAAAATGTAGATTAGTACTGGCTACTTTTCCACGACGTCATGAAAATGGTGGGTCACGTCTCTTGCAGCTTTGCGAAACGTTCAGCTTATAATCACTGGATTTATGAAGGATCCTTATAACTCATTAAAGCTCGTCGATAGTCAAGTTGGTCTGTTTTCCTAGTAACATCGACCAGTTTGTTCTGTTCTCTCCGGCCGGTATCGGTTGAGCCACCTGACGAGGTGTAAGCCCGCAAAGAAATCTAAATCCTGAAGCACCAAAAGTTCTCAGGTTTCAGACGACTTACCTCCAGCTCTTCCTAACAATGGTAGCAACCTTCCAGTCAGAGAACTGATTAGGTTGTTTGGGAAACAGTGCATTCCATCATCTTGACGCGATTGTCGTCGCCATCTATGTGACAACTATCGGGGTATAAACCCTACTTACGATTGCGTCCAAACTAATGACTGGTACATGTTGATCCATTAGGACTCTCTGGTTAGGTCCGATAGATGGTGTAAATCTGTGGCTTGAGACATTATCAGACATGACTCAGAGTAAAATCCAATGGTGATTTTGCTGTAAGGCTCTCCAACTATTAAAATAGAGAACTTCTTGGGCTGAAAGGATTCTTTCTGGTTCCATTTTTCTTAGCTAAGCTCCTTCTTCCGTTATATACTGCTATTGTTCACTTATGTATTTAGACTATAGTCAGCCTCCGTCACCACGTCTTCACGATCTCATTTTTTTATCATTTTGCTGTTTTTATCTTGGTACCGATTTCTACCAGCGTTTATATAAATTGTTTAAATATAAAATTGTAATTTATTTGCCGTTCGTCATATACTCTGTTAACCTAAAGAATGTTTCAGTTATATCCAGCCAAACATGTGGCCATATTAAAGCACTTAACTTCTGAATTATCTAACTTTCCGTGTAAGAAAAATCGTGTGCATTTGGTTTTGTTAATATTATATATTGCTGTTATAAAGTTCGGGTTTGTTACAGTTTTTACTTGTCTGTAACCATCTAATTGTTTTTTGCTATCGTTGTTATTCACGTTGTGCATACTCGATTCCATATTTTTTTTTACCTTCCTCTTATCCTCTGCATTGTATTTTTTCCGGTATTACGTTATTGTTAGTATGATTTCTACTGCCTCCTCTGCTACCATCAATACAAATACTAGTGAACAAGATTGTAAAATTGGTCAACAGCAATATCAGCAACAACAGTTGTTCCGTCAAAATACTCCTTATAATTTTAGTTCCTGGGATTGGAATGCTGTGAATATCATTAATAATACTAATAATAATAATAATAATGTTAACGGGACTCAACAACCAATTTGCAAACCTTTATTTCCTGAAAACGACGTCATGAAGATGATCAATTTTATAAAACGTAAGGCGACCATTTTCTTGTTCTTCTAGTTAACCCTTTATTTTTTTGTATTTCAAATAGTGTTTGAATGAATCGACTAAATGCCTATTTAAGCGCTATTCTAATGATAACTGGCAAGGTTTGTCAGTGTGCAAAATATGTGATGCCCGTGAACCGCACACTTAAATCACTGGAAGAAAAGTATGCAGAACAACAAAGTTATCTCTATATCTCCTCAACGTAGTATTTATAACATAATTTTCTCTCTTTAGTTAGCCTGGTAAGTGGAAAACATTTCGAAACTATCAACTTAACAATGCAGTCTCAGAGTTGTCATTCGCATTCTGTTATACGTAAGCTACGTTAGGTCTAATGTTTTTACTATCATTGAAACTAAAGCATAACTGAAAACCTTACATGGTTTACTACTCGCTAGCTTAATAAGCGTGTAGTGATATAGAAATATTTGTTTGATGATTAAAACTTGTTTTTGGTTGTACTCAATACCAACTACACCAGTTTAAAACAACCAAAAAAGATAGGTATGAAGCATGATCTACATAGGGGGATATAATGGTGAATAACCGTGAAATGTCAAAGTAGTTGGTGAACAAACATTTTCCTAGTGTAAGGGATATTGGTAAATGATTTACTTGATATTCTCCGGTGAAGAGGCTGAATTCTTCTTGTGGTCGACGATTATGTTTTAAGAGGCTCAGTTAGTCAAATGTACTATAAAGAAATTTTTATGCGGCAATTTTTATTGTTAAGTTCTTAACGATTATTTTATTCATTTAAGTTGATTAACCTAATTAGAACATTCTTCTATTGTTATCATCTCATTCTGGGAGATGTGAAGGACTATTATGTGAGTTTTATCCATGGAGTAATATTAAATATCCTATCATATGTACTGTTTAGAGGTCTAAGTCTTGCTTCATTTTGTACTGGCTGTTACCTTTGGCACTTGAATTTAATGTCCTATCGAAAAAGTTCAGTTTAATCATCATTTTTAGACATTTTAACCGTCTTATTAAAATTCGAAAAAATTGAATCTAGCCATCCAAACTATCATGTAAACTTGGTCTATTATTATTATTATTATTATTATTATTATTATTTCCTTATGTTTATTTTAATATGATTTCTTTTTGTTCGATCAATATTACGGTAATTTATTTGATATTCATTCATATTATAATTATCGCTTCATAAATCATTTCGATGTAGTTGCTTAAAGTTCCATTCCCTCCTAAAGCATTAATTGCTGCACTGATTCATTTGCATATCACAATTTTTATGCTTGATTTCCGTGAAAAGATATGTATTAAGTTGTATTAGATCACAAAAACAGTTAAGGGTTTTTGTGATTACGTAATTCACAGTCGATCTATCTGCGTTTATGTCGGATTCTACATTGTTTATGAGTGACTATCTGAAGGTTCGTGATACTAACTAACAAACAAAACTTAAACAAATGGAGGAGTAAAAGAATTTACTGCTTATGACTCTCTGTTGAATGTCGGGTGTGTAAACCGATTAGAACAACACATGTAAGCGAACAATTGTTTTCAATTAGATCATCATCAGGTTTTACTCTAATTAGCTACATTACGTGATTACTTTTTAATCAATTCATATAGACTTATTACAAGTTTATTTTTTAGATATCAGTGTTTGTTTAAACGCAACTTTCTTAATTTTAGAGGAAAATTATGCTCCTACAATGATTAATCCAGCCAGCTTCAGTCATGAAAATAATAATAAACAAAGGTTTGTACGGGAAACTCAACCATCATTGGATAAATTAATTGAAATGGGTTATCCGAATCAGCATTGCCCTTATCCTTTAGATCATTTGCATTCACAATTTCAATTCAATCAAACTAGATGCTCATCAACTACAACACGATGTAAGTAGATTTTATATATATGTGACAAAATGAGATTTCAGTTACACTTTAATGTAACTCAGGGATTTACAGTATATTAAGACATGCTAATATCATGCAAATGTTTTTCATTACATTGAACTGTTGTCACTGTACACTGTTCACTCGACTTTTTTCTCATATATTTTAATTCTTATATATGGTGAAAATTGGTAGTTTACTCGATAGATTTTTTCACAATGTTGTTTCCTCTATGCTGAATAATTTTTTCCCATTAAATTTTTATAGCCTTTCTAGACAACAACATCAATACAGACTTCAGGAAAAAGTGTTTCTTTTTAAAGTATTTTGCCACAGGTAGCTGCTAATAGCTTATCTTGTAGACATAAGTTGTAACTGATTGTTACCGGTGATTTTATTATTATTGTCAGTCAGTTACAAGTGATACGATTATCTGATAGAACCACACATCAACACAAATTTTTGTACTGCATCAACATAGCAATATGAAAACAATAGCTGTAGTGATAGTAAAAACGGACTAGACAATGAAAATTTAATTGAGTTAGAAAGAATCGATCCCTTATATAAAAAGTTCGAAATAATTTGGAAATTGAAGATATATAGGTATTTAATTTTGATGTTGTTAAAACGTGTTATCAACCAGCCCGAGGTAAAAAATAATTATGTCAAGTGATTTTTCAAACAAATGTTTCCTCTGATGATTTTGTATAGCTAAAAAAACGCTTAAAACATAAATCATTCTTTTGAGAGAATAATGCACCAACACATAAATTCTGTAAATATTTCTACTGAATTTATCATTTTATAGATAAAGAACCAACTGTCCGTAATGAAGAAAATCCTGTTTATTCTGAAACTGATAATAAATCAAGCATTCAGGAGGATCCATCATCAATGGATAAGAACAGCAATTGTAAGAGTATGTAAAATTATACTTAACTTTTTTTTGTTTTAACTGAATTCTTAATTTATTCTTATTTTAATACTAAAATAAATGTTCTTGTTAAAGGGCATAATTTTGATTATCGAATGAATGACCATTTGTCAATATGATCTTTTTCCATGTTTTTTTAAAAAACAAAATTCAATCTAAGATATGATTTTTTGGTCGTTTGCGAGGTTTTGTGGAGGCCAGTTTAATTGGTAGGTGATTTTCTTCACGGTTTAATGTCAGTTGTGTTATCATTAAAAATCAGCGGAACACTGTATGGCTGTTTTCGTCCCAGTACGCAACTCAGTATAGTATGAACCCCATAACCCCATCAGGGATTAGAATATACTGGTTTGCTTTGTTTATTAGTAGATAGACAAAAGACCCAACCACTTAGTCTATATCTTATCGACGTGATGGTAATTATCGTTTATTTCTTCGTATTTTGTAGAAAATATTTCGTTGATTAGCTTATTGCTAACGATAAGGTATCTAATCTACTTAATGCTTTCCTACCTATGGTAAATAAACACATGTAATTATACTTATTGATCTACATTTATGCTTTTACATATATACTGTGACCGACAGTAAGAATAGTTTCAGATATTGCATCACCTGTTGAGCTTGACGTCAGTTAACACTTTTAAAACTCATTCTGTACGCTTCATGCCCGTACGCTCTTTGATTCTTGGATCTGTGTTATTTGGTTATTGATTCCCACACTTGTTATTGAGTTTACTGTGGTTAACTCTTTAGCGGCCCTTTATCTGACTCCATTTGCATCGTAATAATGATTGCTATGGGAATATACATATCGCCAACCCTCGTGTACTTCCATCGGCTTAAATCGCGTTAGTGATTAACGGAATCAAATAAGCCAAATACAAGAATGAATTTTAAATACGTATATTTGATACAATCGTTGGTCCAGAAAGACGATCAGAAAAACGAAACGAAGAGAGAGAAGGGGAGAGAGCGAAGCGTAACGAAATGATGCGCAGTCGAGATGACGAGTGATCCAACTCGATCTAATCAAGTGTTAGTCGATATTTATAGTCAAACGAAAATAGGTTACAGACTCATGGTGAATAGGATAAGTAATTGACAAACGTACGATCGTATAAAAAAACAGTAACGTTAATAAGCGAAGAAGTGACAGGTTAAAAATGTAGCTTGAGGAAAATGAATAGATTGGTCTGTCCAGAGGCTAGAATAACCTACGTGGACTTGACATAGTACCAGCTCCTTCAACTCAAGTGATAACATGGATACTATGTTCATGAGATGAATGACCTCACTTAATCACACTGTAATCCATTTGTCTGTATTGAAAACTAGCTAATGATAATCCCAGGTTTAGGGTTCAGCTTGATTAAATGAGACAGGATTCGTACCGAATAGTTTAATATCGACTGATCTAACCATTTATAACTAAGTTAATCTGCTTTGCATGTTGTTGGTTGAACATCTTCCCCGTTCGCATGTTTGTATTTGTTAGGTACTTTTTAAAAGTTGGTAGAATTCATTGCATTTCTTGTATAAATTATGTTTAGCTGGTTTTTTTGCTTTAAATTTCATTTTCTATTAAATTGCCCATTTAACCTTGAATTTTCCGCATTCTGATCTAAAGGTTAATCATTCTGAGTTGTGCAGATAGAATTTCTAACAGACTAAGCCGTAATATGTGCAAGGTATACAAGCGATATACACTTCTGAAAACACCGTATTATCTGTACATTAAACGTTTTATCATTTTTAAGGAGTTTAATAATCCGACTTTTTATTCTCGAAACATGTATATTGATATATATAATTTACTTAGAACCCTTCAAGTAAATAATTTACTTATTCTATCGTTAAATTACATTGGTAAGTAATATCCTCCCCTCCCCCTCGTGATAAGCTAGTTTGATCATCTGGTCTTATTTTGTTGTATCATATGGTGACTAAGTTTGTTTTCACTGGATAATGTAAATTGCAGTCCTCTTCAAGTTGATTTTAAAGTTATTTACTACTTTGACGTCAGACGTTTTTAAATGACAATGACCAATTTGATAATGAAATCATAGTTTTCACAAGTGCCATATTTTCAATCTTAACAACGAAAATTGGTGACATTGCATAGCTACTGAGTACATTAGTCAGTAGTTTCAGAATGCTTATAAAAATAGTTTTTATATAGTTGGTTTCAAATTGTTTTATCTCGTTAACGAATACTATCCTTTTTATTTGTTACTATTGTGCCATATTATTGTCATGGTACGATAAAGGGTGCCTGATAAAATATTTGGTCTTCATTTAATTCGTGCAGATCGATGTGTAAATCAGATAGTCCTTTTATTTATTATTTCGTCATGAAATACAACTCTGCCTTTAAGTCCTACCGTATATTTAAAGTGCAGACAATCAATTTCGGTTTGCGTGTATGGTTTAGTGGGTAGTGCAAGTGTTTTTGAAACATGGATATACATATTACCTGGAAATGGTAGTTGTTGTTGCTATAACTATACTACTTATGAGTAACTAGAATTTGTTTCTTGCTCTTCATCGGTTGATTGTAATGTTTTAGTGCTTTATGAAAGTTTTTCTTTCTGGTCTTATTGAACCAGTTATTTTGTGCCTGTGTGCTTTGAGATTTGACTGTTGTTGCTGAGTTCACCATCTTGAATATGATTTCAACGTAAACTAATTATCATTTGTTATAGAACCAATCATCATATTTTTCATACGTAAATATTCCGAGTAGCTAAGGTAGCCCTTTGACTTCATTTGACATCAAGAAAGTTCCCTCGGTAAGTCTTACAGTAGTAGTTACATCTATTCGACTTCACAGTTGGCCAATGTATTTTGATTTAATTTGTTTAAAAATTGGTTTAATTTATTTGTTTCTCACTCTTCTGGTTTTACGATTAGGCGAAAAGTTCGCATGTGAACATTGTGAAAAGAAATTCAAGACAAAGTCTTATTTGAATGAACATGTGAAAGTTATTCATGAAGGTAGTTTAGTCATTGACTAGCATTTTGACTTTCTATTCATTGTGTATCTGTTTTTCCATGTTTACTTTTAATTTAGTTAAATAAAACAATAAGGTTGGAAAAGGGTTAATAGTTTGTTGGTAATTATATAAATTATTATGATGCTGTGTTCATTTTTTGGTTTTTCGTTTCTAAATAGCGATTTTGGATATGACTCCACTTAGTTCGGTTTTAATCAGATTATTATCTATGATATGATTCTTTGCACATTTTAAGAGTTTTATCATTTGTAGCAGACTTTCTGTTATTACATGGCAGCATGATTTATTCTAGCTTCTGGACAGACAAATTGTTCTGATTTTTCCCACTATTATTCACATTTTTCCAATCTCGCCAATTTTCACATGTAGCATACATGTGTACATGATTGTACGTACGTGTCTATTCACCTCCTGTATTTTTTACATGCCTTATAAAATCTGAGTTACATTACTAATCTGAGTCGGTGTATTGCCGAATCCCAGTTCTTTATCCGTCCGCTGCATTCCTTATTGCTTGTCTGCCGTTCATTATTAGCACATCCGAAATGTATGTATCCTAAATACCATGTGTATTCTACTTGTGTTATCATCTACGTCGTTTTATCACATGATTTGTTGATAGCATATACAAAGTAAATTTTGTGTACACGTTTCATTAGCACCATGATTCACTAATGATTTTCGTCATTGATGGAGTCAACCCTTTGTGCTATACACTAAATGTTTACAATATTAACCTCCTAACAGACATTTAGGCTCACATGATTCTGTTAGTCAGAATACGATGATAGAACTGACTCATTACCTCAAGATTAGTTACCGTATGCAAGTCAAAATGTAACTATATGGTTACAGTCCTTGTTGGAGCTTTGTTAACTTCAAGAAATAACGCTGAACAGAGGAATGAGTCTATAAACAAACGTGACTTAATATTCTAAATACTGTTAGAAAGTAAAAAAAATGTGGTTAGGTAACTTTCGTATCTCAGTGAGTAAAGATTACTTAGTTAAGTTAGTCAACCCCTTAGTGATTCAAGTGTACTTTCATCTTCAGATATCATCCACGTGTATAAGGATAATTCTGTTCATTAAATAATAACCTTCCAAAATATTTTATCAATTAACCTTTATTTATGCACATGTAAATAATGTTACTCGTTTTACTGTATTGAAATGGCTCTGAAAACCGAGTACACAGTTTTACTTATTTAATTGTAAATTAGGAGTCGACTGCTCATGTATGGAGAAAGCCAGTCCTTTTCAACTGTCTGATAAAATTGTAAAATCTTTCGTTTCTGAACATTTTTCCATTCATTCAGTGGATGATTGTTGCATATTAAAATATGGTTTTCACTAGATACTTTATTTTATTTATCTAAAGTTATCTAGAATTGTCATCTGTCACCACGCCACTGTAGCGTATACTAACTTATCGGGTAAAAGAGGCAAATAAAGTGAAAGTTAGAGCTTGAAATGAAGTCCACACTGGAAATTATGTTCTTTATGCAGCATTCACTTATCAAATTAACTGAAAATCACGCGATAATGGCTGTTACCGTAGGTATATTAAATATTAAGAACCGCATACTCTATATATTTATAAACACATATCTTGTCTCTGCTCTTCTAGAGGGAAAATCATCGCTGAAAGAGGGAAAAATTGACAGCAAACAGAAAATGTTTAGTGTCATTGATTTACACTAAAATGTAAAGTATCAAATGATTTCATCTTAAAATTTTATGAACGACATCCGGTGTTTGAACATGTTAATTAGTGACCAAATGTTAAATGATCGACTGTAATGAAAACTGTTAATTCAGTTAAATGTATTTGTTGTTATTTGTCTGGCTGAAGTTCGATTTTGTTTTTTCTTTTTGTGGTCACTATAGTAATGACAGGGTTAACATATTTTTCTTCGATGATTTATTGTATATATATATATATATTTATTTATTTATTTATTTTTTAAATGATACTTATACAGGCATTTTAATTCAATGCGATGAATGTGGCGATGGATTCAAGTCTACTAGTTCACTTAAAAATCATATAAATTTAGTGCACAAAGGTACCCTATTTAATTTGTTTTGTTTTAATACAATGTTCACTTGAATTTATGAAATAATATAACGGGAAATGTGTAGTTGGTGTAGATATCTTTCAGTTCTACATGAGATGAATTAGATCAAACTCGAATAACTTGGTAATATAATCCTTAAGTGTAACGCTGGATAATGCAGTTTAAAATCTCTTAGGGGAGAATCAGTTTCATTAAGATTTCAGGTACGCCTTACTGACTGATGAATATAAATTAACATAAAATCTTATCCTAAAGTTGCTTACCGATTGCTTCGAACTATCTCACATTTAGAATTGGTTAGTGCACACAATCTTAATTTAAATCAATCAGTGGCTACATTGCTACTTGATCGATCAATATTTCACTAGGTCTAAGAATTTAACTAACATGATATTGGTTATTACTCTGGGATCAATAAATTATTTCATGATATCATAGTTTTCTATTATACTTAGAAATAAGACATGTAACTACTTAGTTTATAAGGACTTAACATAGTTTTCTTTCATCACATGTTGAGGAACGTTTGACAACCACGAAGTATCAAAAACTCAGTCTGTTTGAAATTTAAAACCCACCATTGTGTTGTGTACTATCAACAAACTCAAGAATAATAATATCTACCAACCATCTTCAGTACTGTCGTCTCTATTAGTATTTCGTAATTTTATCCAAAATTATGTCTCATGCACTTTTAAGCTCTGAGAAAGTTTAGAAATTGTCATGATTGTTTTTCAATAAGTCAAGATTCAACAGTTTACAATTTTTAGCCAATTGTATTTACTAATATTGAATTTTACATTTCGCTTTTATGATACTTCATAAACATTTTGTAAAAGTCAGACTTTTGTTGTTTTTTCTGATGATATTTAAATCTTCACATTAGTGACTAGTAGGGTGATTTCAAATTGATTTATCTAAATATTTATCTCAGTTTTTTTGTTTGTTTTGGCAGTCAGACACCAAGATATAAATAATTAAACTAGTTAATGAATTTTTTTTTCAAATTATCGAGTTATTCAAAAAATGGGAGAGAAATAAAAAGCAATTCTCACATGATAACATTGTTGTTCTACTACTAGATATTTAAGTTCAGGTTTATTCACTTTTTTTATCTGGTTCTCTTAATCAAAATAAAGATATTGTTTATATTATGACCTAATGTAATTGGTTCAATAATAAAGAACTGGTTGGTACTAAATTATCACACGGATGGCAACAAATTACGATTGATATTTCTAAGTGAATTGCGTCACAATAAACCGTGTAAATTATCAAAAGACAACATAAGGCCTGTATGTGGATGTAAAGAATCACTTATGTAACCCTAATGCATTTTTTTCTGCGAACTTTGGACCTTTGATCAACCTTAAATTTTGATCGAAAACACCGTAATATGATTTACGGTAATTGATATAGCGACATATTATCCATTAATAATACTTAAATCATCCAGCTTCATGAATCAAAATGTAGACTAAAGTAATTCATACATTAGTCGATAACTTGAAATGTCCATATTTAGCTAAGCTAATTCCTATTTGAGAATGAGGTTCAAACCGGAATCCTAGTGATTAAAAGCCTAATGTTTAATCTACTAAATCACCAATTCCATGTTTACTTAAAAAAATGTATAAAAGCGGTATAAAATATTTATTTTCTTTCTTAAAAATATCTGGAAGAGATATAGTGCTTTAACCTCAAATAATCAGTCATATGGTAATGTTAAATAACCTGATTTTATTTTCTCTTCTCGTTCTACGTACATGTATATGTTTATCTAATCAGGCTTGGGATTTCAATGTCATTATTGTAATAAAGTGTTTACACAAAGGCATACCTTAATAATACATGAAGAATGTGTTCATAAAGGTAAGTTAAAGAAGATTGTGTATACCCATATTTTTATGTATCATCCAATTTATTAAGAATTAAAATCCCCACTTTAAAAAATAAGCAAGAAATTTGATCGTATCTTTAAAGTGTGAGTTGGTAAGATTTTGAATATTCTCATTAATCGGCTATTGTTGTCAGTGAGGAATTAGAGTGTAAGCAAAGGAAGTCTTTGTGGTAAGGATTATGTCCAAAGACCAAAATCAGATATGTGTCAGTTTGATTGATGTCTATACCACTTTGTTTGGTTTGGTGGGGATTGCTATCAGATCTTGACGCTCATCGACGGTCGGTAATTTCATTTGTTGGTATCCTGCAGTTACCAATGCACAAGAACTTCTTTCGTGTTGAGTCAAGCGGCTACTTTTCTATGGTATGGCACGCAAAAGCTAACGCAGGACTGGTAGACCAAGAGCGTTCGACTTTCTAATTAAAGCAAAGCATTCCAAAGTCCAATTTTTTAGTTTTAACCCAAAGTGATTTCTGCCCAAGGTTCCAAATGAGTTATCAATGGTCTATCAGGTTTTGGAGATAATCATTACCAACAATTTTGCTATACAAATGATCGGGCAGAATATTTAAAATTTGAATTTTGTCAAAAGAGAAAAAAATACTTGACAGAGTAGTCAGACAATGTTAAAATCAGAGGGGGTTTTGTGGAGATTTAGTATTTTTCATAGTTTTAAAGCATGAGTCAATTGAAGCTAGACCACCATGGAAAACCTGGAAACACTGGACGGCCGTTTCGTCCTATTATGGGACTCCTCAGCAGTCACCAGTGACTTCGAGAAGTATAACTAGGAGCTCTAGTGAGAAGCAGTGACCAGTGGAGTTCAAAACCACGTCTGTTGTGAGATAGGAACTCACTGAAGACAATTGGTGAATGGTTGCTCAACTTCGTGGATCAGTTGAAGTTAGACATTAACACCGTTGGATGCCAGCTCAGTGGTCTATCGGTTAAGGGCTTCGGCTCGAAACTGGTAGGTCCTGGGTTCGAATCTCGCGCGAGCGGGTTCGTGGATGCGCACTGCTGAGGAGTCCCATAATAGGACGAAACGGCCGTCCAGTGTTTCCAGGTTTTCCATGGTGGTCTAGCTTCAATTGACTCATGCTTTAAAACAATGTTAAAATCATTCAAAGGAACAAAAACCTTGATTCTGTCCACCACCAACATTGAACCCTACGGTGATGTAAGCATTGTAACCAAAAAACTTATCCACAATTATTGACTTACTGAAAATAATTACTTCTCTATAAGTACTTTAGGGCGATCAAATTATATCACTATTGAATGTTCAAATGTTTTATATAAACTGTTTCGTTTGAGTTCTTGCATATCAACTGAATCGTTTTTAAAATATCCTTTTTTGTATACTACATGACAATCCATACTACTCGTATATTAGTTTGCATTATATATATATATATATATATATATATATATATATATATATATATATATATATATATATATATATAAACAACTCTGTCTAGGCCCCTCCCAGTTTTCATCAAGTGCTATTCATTGTTCTGTTCTTTACTTTCAAATTCCTGCTCCATGTGTTATTTACTCTCTCTGTTTTCCTTTTACCCTGAGGATTCAAAGCTAGGGCTTGCCTCGTTCAATGGTTTCTACAAATTATATCCTATCCACCCTCAGCGTATTTTCGTAATTTCCTCCTCAGCTACCACCTTGTTTGTTCTTTTTTACAGTAGGTTATTGCTAATAATTTCGATCAATTGATCTACAGTATCCTGTGTAGGCAGCCGTTTTGTAAATACCTGTACATTTTTGGTAACGATTGCAGTAGCTCTTCAAGTTTCAGCCCCATACAATAAAATGTTTTGGGTGTTAATGTTGAAAATCCTGACTTTAGGGTAGGGTGACAGTTGTTTTGAGTGTCACATATTCTCCAATTGTAGAAATGTCTCCCATGTTTTCCCAATGAGTCCCTTGTCCCTCCTTGTCTATCGATGACTCTGTCCAGGTACGTAACACTTTCTATTTCTCTCGGAGCTTCTCCATCAAGCGTGACTGGGTTGGTGCTTTCTGTATTGTATTCCGGTTTTTTTCCTTGTGTGGAGGCCTACCGTCGTAAAAGCAGCTACTACAATAGCTGTCTTCATTTCCATTTGTTGCTGCCTATGGGATAGAAGAGCTAGGTAATCTATGAATTCCGAATCGTCGAGTTGCATCCAAGTTGTCTATTGTATTCCGTGCTTGCCCTAAGATGTGGAGATCTTCATTAGGCGGTCAACCACAAGATGAGAGTGAGCGTCCTTGTCTGACACTGGTCCATACTTGAAATGAATGTCAGCTGTCCTCCACGCATGACTTTACAGGGTAGTTCATCGCACGAACTCCGGGTGATGTTAACGATCTTCTCAGGGACACCATGGTGTCGAAGAAAGCTTCACAAGGTTCTCTTATCCATTCTGTCGAATGAATTCTCATAATCAAGGAAGTTGATGTATGGTGATGATTTTCGTTTCAATGATTGTTCAACAATGATTCGAAGTATTGCTATTTGATTGATAACGATCAATCCATATGGAATGCAGCCTGTGTTGATCTCGAAGTTGAATACCTACTTTATCTTTCATTCGGTTCAGAGACACTGTTGTTGCACATAAATAAATTATTATTAATCTAACGCCCGAAGTATTTCAAATTAGTTTTGTTCACGGTATGTAGGTAGTGTTCGTCCTAAAGCCATGTTCTGGGTTAGTTGTCATGCATGGTCACGAGTTTAGTATGGCTGTAGAGTCTTGAACTACGACGAAATGGCTATTCAATGAATGTTTCATGTCATTTTTCTCATAAAAAATAAACGTAAATTTGTGCAGTTGACAAATTTCTTATATCAGTAGTCAAAGTTCTTCTAAACTGTAGGATATACCGCACTGGATGACCTTTTACAATGTTTGAAGTCTATAGACTTCTCTATCATAATCATCGTCGTCTTTTAGATTTGTATGTTTATACAGTGGAAAAGTAGATTCATTATTTTGTTTTAATTTCTTTGTTTTCTCCCTATTTAGGTATCAAAATATCATGTAATCATTGTAGCAAAAAATTTGCTTCTCGATGGTATTTAAAAGAACACATCACAATTGTCCATGAGGGTAAGTTGGATGTTGTTTTGTTTCATAAACAAAAACACTGTAACTAATTGATTGGTTGACTCGGCATTACGGTCTCTTCAATCCCGGGTGATCCTTAGTTCAATCACATAAATACTATGTGGTCATGTACTATTAAGAATTAGAAAGGTAAAACAGAGCACTGGTTCAGTGCTTTTTGGTTTATAATGAGTGTTCAATCGAAAACTTCTCATGTAATAGCGGGATTACTGTATCGTGCAAGAGGAGAGTCTTTTTAATATGTACTTCGCAAATAAGAAAACAACACTGGTGCAGATGAATAATTATTTCATCCTCCAAAATTTAACAATCAGTTTACAGTTAATTAACTAAAAGATCACATATAAGGGAAATAAATAATCGATGTTACACTAAACAAGCAAAAGACGCATGCTTCATGTCATACTGAACAAAGTTCACACTAAGTGAATACGAAGAATATTATTCCGAATAGACGTTACACTAATAAAATTAATTTTATACAGAACAAAATATCATACTAATAATTAACAAATATTCTATTCAGTAGCAGTGACGTAAAGAACAATTTTTTTTGTTTTTTCAAATAAAAGTTACTAAGTTGAAACCACTTCGCGTTTTTATCCTGTTCCAATGATATATATGTAGTATTACATGATAGATAAATTACCAGTCAGTCAGCTACAACGTAGGACCAGGCACATTTATGCATCGGTCCAAGTTGCCATACCTCGTTAGCACAACAAGATGAACACCGGGTTCATAGAAGTAATTAATTTAGTGGTGGTAGTAGTATATAAATTATAGGTTGTATATAAGGATATAGTACAGGAAGGAGGAGAGATATGAAGCAATTTTAGTCTCAAGGTTTAAAGGAAGATAAAGAGTGTATACACCTACGCCATTGTGATCGATTCTGAGCCATGTCACCTAGAGTCTCCAACCATTGGTTACGATAGTCACGAGGACCCCAACCAGGTAGTCTGCATCTGCCAACATGGCTCAGACTAGAAGTTAGTGACTTCAAACACTGATGCCACGTTTTTGCTTGGCCACCCCTAACTCTCTTCCAACAATCCCCTACACTAGTCATCATAGCGCGTCGTGGTAATCGGTGTTCAGGCATACGTTACACATGGCCCAACCATCTCAGTCGATGAAGATTCATCACCTCATCAACTGATTTACCATCGTTCCCTAATACCCTGCGTCTAACCTCACTATTACTTACCCGGTGATCCCAGAAGATGCGAGCAATATTTCTAAGGCATCTGTGGTCAAATACTAGTAACCTACGAGTATCTTCTACTCTTAATGGCCATGTTTCACAACCGTAAAGTAGAACAGAGCGAACTGATGCGCAGTATACTCGTCCTTTAATTGATAGACGGATATCTCGTCTTCGCCATAGGTGATGTAAGTTGGCAAAAGCCAAACGAGCTTTTCGAATCCGTGCTGAGATTTCGTCAGACACCAACCCATTAGGGCTGATCAGACTAGATAAATTACCAGTATGTATTGCGTTGTAACAGTTCGATAGTTGTTAGGCAATCACTTAACATAAATTGAAATGGATATTTTGACTACGAAACAGTTCATTCATTTGTAATATTCACATTCCATTATGGTATATGATTCATTGCAGAAAGATAATCTTAATTCAGTGAATATTATATATTAATTATAGAAGGGGTTTTGTGGAGATTTAGTATTTATCATTGTTGAAAGCGTGAGTCAATTGAAGCTAGACCACCATGGAAAACCTGGAAACACTGGACGGCCGTTTCGTCCTATTATGGGACTCCTCAGCAGTGCGCATCCACGAACCTGCTCTCGCGAGCGAGATTCGAACCCAGGACCTACCAGTCTCGAGCCGAAGCCCTTAACCGATAGACTACTGAGCTGGCATCCAACGGTGTTAATGTCTAACTTCAACTGATCCACGAAGTTGAGCAACCATTCACCAATTGTCTTCAGTGAGTTCCTATCTCACAACAGACGTGGTTTTGAACTCCACTGGTCACTGCTTCTCACTAGAGCTCCTAGATATACTTCTCGAGACTGGTAGGTCCTGGGTTCGAATCTCGCTCGCGAGAGCAGGTTCGTGGATGCGCACTGCTGAGGAGTCCCATAATAGGACGAAACGGCCGTCCAGTGTTTCCAGGTTTTCCATGGTGGTCTAGCTTCAATTGACTCACGCTTTCAACAATGATAAATATTATATATATTGTACAATTACTTGTATGCAGATTCATATTAATAAGTCAGTAAATTTCATCATTTTTTTTTCAATGTAAATATATTGTTTGAACTTATGTCAATTAAAATCACGTTATGTACTCATATGCTCTTATAAAAATCCTATAACTTGTCTCCGTCTCTCTTTCTCTTGATTACTGCAATTCTCAAAGTGATCAATATCTTGCTAAAATTTTTTGATTGTCTACTTTCTAGTTTAGTAAGATGCAACTGTAATTGGAGTTGATCCAGATACAATAAAAATACAGATACTTTTGACACAATTAACATACTTATTATTATAACCTAACAATAATATATAGCTGAATGCGGAATAATTGTTTGCAAATCATGTGTATCATATTTCTTTTCACTTTCCTAGGTAACTTACTAAAATGTGAACTTTGTGGTCGGTCATTCAATTCACATTGTGCATTACGTTATCATTCTAATATTGTTCATAAAGGTTGGTGAATAGTTTTTTTTATTTGTCTTGCTACTATTGACTCTTTAAGCATTGATATCTTGACCGCTTCCTATTCTTTAAAAATCCCCCTTTCTCTTACTCAAAGCAGAGAATAAATGATGGGAAATATAGAAGTTCTACTTTGTAGGTTATATTATGTACAGAAAAATAGAGTATTCATAAGATTATTAGTGAGTTTGAGGTATTCAGAGCCGAAGCAAAAAGTTAGTGCTTCGGTCTGGGCATCCGAGCACTAACACAGCCTACACACAAATAAAATGACAATTATTATTGGGAATGTTATTCTTGCACATTCATTTGATAACATTCATTTCTATATTTTTATATGCTACGTCACTTATCTACTCTCTCCTATTCTCACTGAGTGTATTCTTATTTTTCAACTTATGCAGCAGCTCGCTCTTGGTGGAAAATCTGTCCTATCTAAACGATCTCGAATTAATGACTGGTGGAAAGTTAAATGTTGCCACGTAATATGAATACTGAAAGTCTTTCTGAAACCACGTATACCATTCAAACTGGCTTCCTTCAACGTTCGCTTACTAATACAGATCGGACAGCAAATAAAGCTGGCTATGTCTTTAGAAAGTCTTAAAATCGACGTTTGTTGTCTATCCGAGACCCGTATTCAAGACTGTAGTGAAGTACTACAAATTTGCTCTCCATCTGTCGCTTCGAAAAGCTTGTTTCACTTGCGTCTATCCAGGGACTATATAGCACCTTAGTCTGGTTTTGTTGGCGTTGATGCCGCACTAAGCGCTGAAACTGAGGCAGCACTGATCGATTGGATCCCCATTAACAGTCGGTTATGTGCTGTTAGATTAGAAAGTTCCATCAAAGTGAGAAGAAATCGGCTTGAGAAATGATGTCTTTTTGTCATCTCCGCCTATGCCCCGACAGATTGCAGCCCGAATGCAATCAAGGATGAGTTTTACCACCAGTTAACTGTTCTTCTCCAGAAAGCGCGTTCGAGAGATATTTTAGTACTAGCCGGAGACTTGAATACACACGTCGGGCGTCTAGACACAGAAAAGAGTCATTTAGGTGGCCGATGGGGACTTGGTCTCAGGACAGATAACGGGGACCGTTTGCTGGAACTGTGCACAGACTACAACCTGTTTCTGGCTAGCACTAACTTCCAGCACAGTCAACGCCGATGTGCCACCTGGCGTCCTCCCTCTGCATCCCAAGCCTGGACTCAGATTGATCACGTCAGCTACCGGTAGCGTGGTTGTGTACAAGACTGCCGCTCCTTTTGGAGTACCTATCTGGAGTCTGATCACGCCCTGGTCTGCGCCAATCTTACCTTACTTCTCAGTGGCCAACGAATTGATGTCAGTGAACTGGTTGCAACTTCTGTTGCACGTAAGTATCGAACTGAGCTAGGTTCTAGGCTAGCTACCATCCCACTGGAAAGTATAGATGAGCATTGGTTGCAACTGCATGACGCCATAAAAATGGCGAGTAAAGTCGCTTGTGGCTTCGCGAAACGTCCCGCTTATAAGAACTGGGTTTCTTCTGGCTCTTTACAACTCATTGAAGCCCGTCGGTCCACTCCGGGTGACCGTGAGTTTGATCACAAACAAAAGCTGTTACGCAGTGAAATTGGGCAAAGTTTGCGTAACGACCGAGAAGCCTGGTGGTCAGAGCCTGCTAATAAGCTGGAAGCAGCAGCTGCATCTGGTAACTGCCGGAAGCTCTTCCAACTCATCCGAGTCACTAGCAGAAAGAATTCTGGTGTGAGTGAAACTACAAGGATGACGGGATGCCAATCACTAACATCTGTCGACGTCTTGGACGATGGGCGGAATTCTTCGAAGAGCAGTTCAACTGGTCTGGTGTCCTGGCAACATCAATTAGACTGTCCTACCCTCCATGGCATTTGAAAACTGTTCCACCAAATGAGGCGGATGTCCGCAAGGAACTCCACCTCGTGTAGCGCTACAAATCACTGGGCCCAGATGACGTAACTCTGTTCGTTTTTAGACTTTCTGGTTATAGAACTGACTGAGTTATTTATAAAGGTCTGGTAAATAGACAGTGTTTCAACATCGTAGGATAAGTCAATAGTTGTTCCCATCTTTCAGAAGGGTTCAATTCACCTATCCAAAAACCATTCGGGAATAAGTCTACTTCGGATTGTGTCCAAAATATTGGCTTTCACCATGCTTCGTAGATTGCTCAAAACCCGAGAAAAATTAACTCGCGAGAAGCAGGCTGATTTTCGTTCTACTTGAGGATGTATTGATCATATCTTCATTCTCCAACAAATATCATACTTATCACAGGCCAATAATCGTAGCGTTTCTTGACATCGGGGCTGACTTCGATTCGTTGGACAGGACTATTCTCTTGGATTGTCTATTGAAGAAGGGTGTGCCTGAGATGTTTATTAACATCGTAAAAGCCCTGTATACAAACACCTCAGACAGAATGAGGGCATACAACCACCTTTCTCCCTTGTTCTATTCAAACAATGGGGTTAGACAGGGTTGGCCATTTTCACCATTCCTCTTGAACTTTGCTATCAATGAAGCTTGGATGGATGTAAGTATTGGCGGTGTTGACCTGTTGCCTGGAGAAAGACTTCTCGACTTTGAGTACGCGGATGATATTGTCTTGCTGTGCGATAATGCCCAAGCCATGCAATCCTCTCGTAATCAGTTGGCAACCAATGTCCGCAGGTACGGCATGTGCTTTGCATTTTGGAAGTGCAAAGTATTTTTACAAGACTGAAAGGACCCTGACCTTGCACTCACACAGGGTAGTGAGCAGATAGAAGTAGTCGAGAAGTGTATCTGAGTAGCTGCATAAGTGCTGGTGGTGGCGTGAGTGATGAGATCAATTCATGCATAGTGAAAACCAGAGCGGCTTACGCTAATCTGGGCCATCTTTGGCGCCTTCGTGATGTTAGTCTAGCTGTAAAAAATTTGGACGCGTTTTGCTCCATGCTTTTGAAACATGGCCTCCGAGTTGAGGATGTTGGACGACTCTCTGTGTTTGATCATCGTTGTCTCCGAAGAATCGCTGACATCCAGTGGTAAAAGCATGTTAGTAGTGCAGAGGTTCGACATTGTGTGTTCGGGCGCAGCAACTTTAATTCAATTAGTGTCACTATCTTGAAACATTGACTTCGCTGGTTTGTACATGTTCTACTGGTGTCGTCACAGAGGATTCCACGTCGTGCATTATTTCACGGCGCTGGGACTTGTTGGGAAAAGCGGAGAGGTGGTCAGTGTATAACATGGAGTTGTGGTATGGAAGAAAGCTGTACAGGACTGGTTTCTGTCAATTCTTCATGACTCTCTTGTTTGGTCCTAGAGATGGTGCAACACGTCGGCTAGAGACGTTATCAGACATAACTCATAATAGAAGTCAGTGGCGATCCTGCTGTAACTTTCTTCGTAAAAAATGAACGTAACTTCTTTATTTGAAATTCTTTCTGGTTGTACTTTTGCTAACTGAACTACCTCTCCAATCGCTATTATTTCGCTCTCATACACTACGTTCTGTTCGTTGTCCTCCTTTTTCTTGTACGCCGCTTACATTCTCTATCTCTTCACAGCCTTATTCTTCTTGTGTGGCGCATATGTATTTGGTGCCCCTTTGTGCCATTATTTATGTGTTCAAATAAATAATAAAATTACACTCAAATTACCATTATGTTCGGTGGTTATTCAATCAGGTCAACGAAGAAAATATCAGTTGTTTTCAAAACATTTTGTTCGCACCTTAAACCAACCCTGATAATATTAGTTTATTATCCATCATAATGAATCCCACATTGTTTTTCATATTATTTTCTTCAAGATCTTTGTTTCCTCTTGCCCTGCATTTGTTCAGATGACCTTTTATTTTTATGTATAAATGTTATTAACAAACATATGTGCGATCAGTTTGTTTAAAATGTATTCAGCGTACATTTCATATTGTCCTGACAATCTTCGTCTACTTATTACAATATCCAAAGTTGCTTTCTAGTTTCGAACAACCGCGTAGTCGAAATGGTTTCTGCGTTTTTCCCGGTTTCTGGAGAATTTTTCAAACAAACTATGATGTTGACTTCCGCTTTGTCCATTTCAACCCTTAGCATTTTAGAGCGGTTGACTGTATAATAAAAGTCCTGGAAATCGTCTAATTCAGCTATGGTTTTCTCTTTTGTTAAATAAGATTAGACAAGAAAATAAATCCTAGAATTACAATGATTCCCTAATAGTTATTTCAAAGATTTATTTAATGGTATTTCTCAACACATTTGTATGTAGAGCGTACTAACATACCATAGTACATTAGGCGTTATATACCAATTAAATTTTGTTCGACTCCCTAACAATATGTAAGTCGCCCATGTTAATAGAATCACAAGACCATATACTTTTTAAATATCGACGTACGGCAAACTGCTTTGAGCGTTGTAATTTATATGCATAAGTGGAATGGTCTTAAAAAGGTTATCAATTTTGTAAAGCGCTTATATAAATAAACACTTGTAGATCAAACGATTAGTTGTCATGTTCGAACCGTTTTCTTGTTATCTTACATGAATAAACTATAGCCACCAATGAATTTTGATAAGATTAAATTAAATACTTAAAAGATATGGAGAATAGACACAGTTTATCATTGACCTTGAAGTCATTGTTAAACAAAAAGCCAACTCGTTTAGAGTATTGGCAAGAAATTCTGAAACATCAACAATTACACTATGGACTAATTTATATTTTGAAAAATTCACCACTGTTTTTAAGCATAAAGCTGATTATCATATCAAAATTAACTTTGGTTAAAGATCACTAAAGTTTCCCATGGACACTTCAATGATTAACTCCTCACTTCCACAGCATAATCAGAAAAAATAAAGGCTTCTTAAAAACGAACAAAATTATTTTCCTCAGTAAACTGTCTTAATTTTCACTTGATGACGGACGACTGTTTATTTAGTTGCTGAAAAACTATTATCTTATTGAATTTTGAGTGTTTTACGTTAAAACAAAAACCAATCATTAGCTTATCCTTCATATGTTTTTCTATTCCAGATCATAAATTCCAATGTCCACATTGTCCCAAGACTTTTCGTTTGAAAAAATATTTAGAAGGCCATGTAAAACGAGTTCATGCTAGTAAGAGATAACTTTTTAACCAAATTTTTGTGTGAATAAAACTTTCATTCTTTTACATTAAGAGTTAGCATTACAAATTAAAGAGAATAATTTAAGGGCAAGGGAGAAATATCGAACAGCTCTTTCCAATCAGATTTGAAGATGCATTATTATACACCTATAACACATGTCCACAGAACTCATCATATATAGTATTTGATAGTTTTTATGACGAGTACATTGCACCTTTACAACTAAGTCCTAATCCTAACAAACTGCTAAGTCCAAGTGGTGAGTGTTATTACAGAGAACTCTGTCACTGTTGCTGTCATCTAATTTATCTTAAGTGGGGAGAGCCAACTCTTCATCTCAAAATACTGTCACATAGCCACGCATATATAACCTCTGCCAGGGAAGTCCTACTCACTGCCTTCTCGTGGCATTACTGTTGTTTACGAAATTGAGAGGACGAAAAGCGAATATCCGGCGCTTTAACCCGGCCGGTGGACACGGAAAGCCCATCTAGGGGAGTTGGAAAACCCTGATTCCAAACAAATGGTGTACATGGGCTCCAGCATCCTGAAGGAACAAATGGAGTATGAACCAGTCGTTGGCCACCGGTTACCATGAGACTGCGTCTCACGATGCTCCACTGCCTTGCGGATTAGACCTTTAGACCAAAGACTCCGGGTGTAGCTCCCTAAGAAAACCACCTGCTTCAGTTTGTGCACCTGGGCAGTATCACAGCCCTCACACTAATCAAATGAGATTTGTGCGGCACATATATATCTGGTGCCCCTTTGTACCAATATTTATGTGTTTAAATAAACAAACAAATAAATCAGTTGATACCTCTCAACTACCCACAGCAGTGATAATTTACTTTCTATTCAATAGATTGAATATTCGAATCCTATCCCACCCTATTCCCAATTTCAACAACCAAATAGTATCATTAATTCGTTATGCACATACTGTGGCTGAAAGTCGAGTATAATAAATATTCATTTGGTCAATGAGTTATAACTTATTAGTCGAGCAACAAATTCATAAAATTAACGTTTTCTTAATGATAAAAATATTGAGCTTCATCGAGGAGGCGGGAGCTCGGAAGAAAAATTGTGTGTAGTTTTGTTCCAGATCTAAACAACCGGTCGATATAGTCAATCGCATTATCGGTTTATGCTTTAATCTAAATATTGCTGACCATTTGAATTCTATGTAAGAATAAAGGAATAAATATAAAATTGTGTACATTTAAATGTTTCATCCTAACTTATTGTCCAAACTGACTATTTTTTTATTACTTTTGATTAAGTTACTGATTGCTTAAGAAATATGCTTAGCACTGTTTTAGTAGTTGAAGAGCATTCAATTTAAAATCTTCAGGACTTCGGTTTAGACAACCTAGCTGTATTATTGTTCCTTATCCTAACATACAAAATCAACATGTAAATGGTATACAAATAAATGTTACATTATTTCACATCATTTTCCTTTAACGTACTACATAGTTAAATAAGATTTGTTCTTACTATTTTTTTCGTTCTTCACTAATTTCTTTTCATTTTAATTCATAGATCTGGGTAAAGGAAATACGCAAACAGTTTAAAATCATAAAATGTATGCACACAGATCATACGATAAAGATATATACGGTCTAGCTTTAATTCTGATTATTATTATCACTACTCCTATTGATGTTGTTTTTAAAACTATTATTACTAACAATCTCCTCTCTTTTATATGTTTCCATTTAACAAAATCCTTATTGTTTTATCAGTATGTGTTATTATTCTTGTCAAGCGTGAATCTCCGTTCACAATTACACTTGTTGTAAACGACATAGAGAAGAGTTGGTTTGGAAAAAAATTAAAATAATTAAATAATGAACAAGTGAAATGTAAATAAGGCAAACTGCAATGTTTTGCTTCGATTTTTTTTATCAATGTTTATTTCTTTTGTCAGCTTTTTGTTTCTGTTTAAAAATATATATACAACCATTATATATATTGTCACACACTAATTTGAAATACATGAATGCATTTGTTATTGATTTACTTACTCACAAATGCCTATCAACGCCTACGCTTTATTAGTGCACTTTGTTAGCACACTGAGGCAGATTAAAATAAAGTTGGCTACAATCAAACTAATGCACCACTACTCGTTAAAAATTCATTGACCATTTTTCTCAAACGTGTTACCAGATAAAACTTAATTAAGATCTGTATGGTAACTGTAATCCATAGATGAAAATATGGCTGAAGATCGGTCGCATTTGTACAATATACTAATTCGTAATCTTTATCTAAAACTGCCGAATTTTATTGAACTCACAATGATCAGTTTACCATTATTTGAAGTGTTATCACTGTCTTTCATTGTGTTGATGATATGTGACAACTTGGGACGGCACCATGCCAGATTATATGCTATGTACGATTTCTTGAATTGGTTACTTATTGACCTTACTGCCCAACCCAATTTTGTGATCTAGTAGTTTGAAAAATATTTATTCCACCATCTGCTTCATATACCTCCTACTCTAGAAATTACTGTAGGATTTTAAGCAAAGCGCAAAAGTTTCGTCCACTAATATGCTGAGAAAGGCCGTACAGATCACATATGACTGCAGGATCAGACGGATTTAAAGGAACCATGGATGGGTAATGTAAATGAATTTATTATGTGTGTTGCCAAGATCAATAGACATGCATTCCTATCTGGACCAGTCAAGTACTCTAACTGATGATATGCTCTTACGACTTATCTTCAAAAACCTTGATCTAATGAATTATGGATAGAATTTATTACATGTCACCACATCTTGATAATTGAAAATTTTCATTTAAGTATAACGTCTATCAATCAACGAATCAGTATTAGTAGAGTTGTTACTTGAGAGGTTTAACAGAATGACCACTGTTCTATGATAGAAAAAGGTTCTATATAAATGTTTTTTTGAAACCAACTGAAAAACCCAAAGAAATTACAAACGGTTACAGTTTCTGAATCTGTTACACTACTATTGAATTTTAGTGAAGCGCTACATTAATAACCTGCCTTAGTTTGGATTACACTAATTTTAGTAAATAAGTCTACAATGTCGGCAGTTAAATGAGGACAATGGGGACCGACCATCGCAACAAGTCATTTTTATGGTCAGCATTAAAAAAAATTTATTCACTGACCTTGAATAGCATTGGACAAAGTGAAGTCAAAATGTTCATTAGTTTAGTGTATTTGTGTCAGAATATGTGATGTGTGGGCGAGAATGACAAGGATTGGTTGTCTTGATGAGTCACACATTAGATAGGATGACAGGTGTTATATGTGTTATATATATTCCCCTATCCTTATTATGTATGAACTGTTCCTTATTGATTGACTGTTCTTTGTGTCGGATTTTGGTGTGGAAATGTATTGACATTATGGCCAGGCTAATCTCGTGTTCTTGATCTGAGTTGTGTTGACGTCCTGTAGAATAGACACGGGGTGGGAATCTAGTGTAGATATTCGTCTACGGTAAATTAACGTCCCACATACGTGTAAAAAGTGAAAGGATTGTTATAACCAGAAACCCGCAAGCGTTATAATCAGCATCCTTACGTTTATAACAATATATTTCAGCATATTCTGATTGATTATGACTAAACATTGAAAATGTTTCGGAGGATTTTCAAGTTCCTTATATATTTTTCTTAAATCTAGATGATTCATTTTAAAAACTTTCGCCAAACACTTCTCGAGAATCACATTGGAGAATATTTTCAATCCATAATTACTCGCTATCACGGAATATGTTATATCTAGAGCCTTGATTCTTAATATGCCGCGAACTACTAGACCACGTGAACGATAGAACCTGCAACGTCGCAAAAAGAAAAGACTAGCAAGTAGGAAGTTTATTCCCCAAATCAGTGTCAAAATGTAGTACAGAAATCTCGTGTATTTATAGTTTTTTTGCTGAATGTAAATCATTTCGGTCAACTAATAGGCACATATGGGTCATTCTAATCCATCCAATGGGGAAGCTACACGTCGACATTCTAGAACATTCCCCTAGCAGTGATTGGGTGGAATGTCTGTGGCTCTTCCTGGGCTTCTTAAAGCTTCCTAGAGTCTACCGACGAGCCGTCCTTACACCTCCTCCCTTTGAAGTCTGTGACGTATGAATTTCTTTTTGGATCTTCTTGAAGCATTGTTGTTGTTCTCATTTTTCTGTTCATCACCCTTATCGGCTGTGCGCTCCCACTCTTAAGTTTTTCTAGTCGTTAGTTGAGGCCTTCTTTCAGGCTTTTCTCCACCAGCATGTGGAACGGTACTTGTGCATATACTGCTGCTGTTCTATGATCCCTTTTTATCTGATTCATTTTGTCTGATACATTTTCCGTTCCTTCCGGGGACTAAATAAAGTACCTTCCCGATACGCTGCCCTATGACACCTGGTTCCCATTTCTGACCGACTTGATACTTCACAAGTACTTTTTCACCTACCTTCAAGCTGCGGTCGTTCGTCTGATACTCCTGTACAGGTTTTCTTCTTTTCTTGGGTGGCGATTTTTTGTCAAACATCCCTGGGTTCTTTGCCTGAACTTCAGCTTCTCCTGTGGCAATGAGTACGTCTTCTCCATGTTTTGCCTGGGGACCAATCAGCCTTGAGAGTGCATCAGATCTCACCGGACTACATTTATGATTAATTGGCTGGTTAGCCAACTGCAACATTTCTATTAGGTCAAGACCAAGCAAATCTAGTCCTGGGCTTTCAGTGAGATATACTTTCACATTCTTCTGTACATTCCCTTTTTTAACTGGACAGCATATCTCTCCAGCAATATTTACCTTCTCTCCAGATGCACTGAGTTGTAGGGAGCACCAAGGGTTTGCCAATATGACTCCATGTTTTGCGGCTGATAAGTGAAATATCTGAAGCAGTGTCAAGCTTTAGACGGGCACGGCGTCCATTAATCTCTAAAGTCACATATTTTCTTCGATTATGTTCTGTTATGGTATGTGCCACCATTATTCTATTAGTTGAGGAATAATTTTTGCGTCTTCGTGATGAGCGATGGTGCATCTTCTTCTTACAACATGTTTCTTTATGTCCTTTAAGCTGACATTTGGTGCACCGATAGTTTTTGTATGGGCAGAACCTTTTGTAATGTAGCTCTCCGCAAAACTAACATGCGGATGGAGGCTTCCTAATGGTTGTGTTCTGCTTTTGCTTATAGGAATCTTTCTTCCCACTTACTGCCTGTACATAAGGAAGTTGACCATTATTTTCTACCATCGAGGTGTCATGTTTCAAGTTCACCAGACGCTGACATTCAGTAGTCACCTCTTGAAGGGTGATATTTGGACACTGTTAAATTTTACTTAGAATTCTGGTTCCGATGTCGGCATCTTCTGGAGACTGTAAGCTGCATACGAAAACAAGACATTCGAATTGGTCTTCTGTCATTGCTGATAGTTTAGAACGCTCACATTCACGATTTACTATGCTGGCATGTTGCACCCAATCATCGTTGCCAGCTGTTATTATCTTCAGGCATTGATGCCGAATATTGAACAAGGAAGACTGTTCACCGAAAATTTGCGACAAAATTTTAACTGTTTCTTCGAATGAAATGTCTCTTGGGTTCTTGGGCAGAATGTAATTAGTGTATCGTTCATGTTCAATGGTCCCCAGCATTCGTAGTAGTACTCTGACCTTAGAGGCATCATCAAACGTTTCTAGGTCAACATTAAATACATCTTCATATTTCTTGTACCAAGATTCGAATGTTACACCAGCTAAACCATCAAAATGAAATTCATGAATGGAATCAATGATATAATCAGCATGTGATTTAGCAGACATAGTCAGTCAGTCACAACGTAGAACTTCGTACGTACGTACATCAGTTCGAGTTGCCATACCACATTAGCACAGAGATGCAGTTGTCGATTCAAATCCCATAGTGGTAGAAGTAGTAGGAGTATAATCAGAAATCCAAAAGATTAGGGTTTGAAGAAATTATTGAAGGAGTATAGTACAGTGAAATAAATTTGGAAAGAGAAAAAGATAAAGACATGAGGAATTCAGAAGATTAGAATTTGGTAGAACACAAAGAGTGGATGCATCTTCGCCATTGCAAACGATTTTGAGCCATGTCATTCAAGGTCTCTAACCATCGGTTGCTGTCATCTCGCGAAACCCAACCAGGTAGTCTACACCTACCAACATGGCCCAGTCCACTTGTCAGTGACTTCATTGATTTGTGCCACGTTTTGGTCTGGCCGCCCATAGCTTTCTTCCAACCTACTCCTACACCATGAAACATTGCACGTCGGGGCAGTCGGTGGTCGGGCATACGTAACACATGTCCCAGCCATCTCAACTGATGAAGTTTCACTACTTCATCAATCGATTTGCCATCCCTACCTAGTACTCGTTTCCTAACAACTGCATTACTTACCCGGTGGTCCCAGGATATACGAGCAATGCTTCGAAGACACCTATGATCGAACACTAGTAGCCTACGAATATCCTCTACTCTTATTGGCCATGTTTCACTGCCATAGAGTAGGACGGAGCGAACTGCTGCACAGTAAACCCGTCCTTTGGTTGCTAGACGGATATCTCGCTTACGCCATAAATGACGCAAGTTGGCGAAATCTAGACGAGCCTTCTGTATCCGTGCTGAGATTTCGTCACACACCAGACCACAAGGGCTGATGAGACTCCCAAGATAAGTGAAGTGGTCTACACGCTCAACTACTTCACTCCCTATCATTAGTTCAGGTGTCGATGCAACCCAATCCTGAAGTAACATTTTGCACTTCGAGGGAGAGAATCGCATTCCGAACATGCCTTTAGCAGACATAAGGTTATAAATAAATTCCTAAATATTTCATCCTGAAAAAAACATATTTTCATGCAGAGCAAACACGAGCACTCGTATTCCTTACGACATTATTCAACATTTTGTATGATTTTGCATTCCCCAAATTAAAAGTAGTTGTATGCA